TTTCAAATTTTATAGTTTTCTTAAGTGATGCTTAACTCCTAAGTTTGTTCACAGTCTCACAGAGCTTCTTATACGAATAATGCAATAAAGTTTATCAATTTAAGTTCTCTATGATCAAGTTTGTTTCATCTTCTCTTTATTCTTCTATTTTACTTTCTTTCTTTGTCTTCTTCTTCATCTTTCATTCCATTTCTTTACTGTTTTCATGTTATTTTTGGTTTTTTAATTGTTCATCATGTTCTTGTTAGAAATACAAAATGAGACCAAGAGCGAGGGGAGATGAATTGATCTATTAAAACTTTTCACAACTTTTGATTACATATTAACAATTTCAAAGATTTAAGAAACCAATCTTAACGTGAATCAAATAATAATAATCTTGAATAAAAAAAAGAGATGAAAGAAGAACAAGAACACCAAGTTTATATTGGTTCACTTAATCCACTGGACTACATCTAGTTCTCAACCAATTCTAGTTGAGTTTTACTAATCAAAATTCAATTGATTACAGGTACATACTGTAGAAAATCAATCTACACCAAGAATTACAACCAAGTTCTTGAACTTATAATAACAACCATAATTTCAATTACCTAACTCAATTCCAGACACCGAAAATACAAAGAAACAAATGAAGATTCAAGATGCTTGAAGAAACTAAAAGAATCAAACGAATATGTAGATGCACAAATTCAATAACAGAATGAGTTTCTTAAAAAAACTAGAACAAAGAGTCTTAAGAAAAATTTCAAAAGAATTCTAAGGAGTAAAGCGCGATTCTCTCTTGGAATAGATCTCTACAGATTGCTTGAATGATTTTTAAAAAGTGTATTTAAAAATGTAGGTGGAAATATGTTTATATAGAGATTTTTCTAACTAACTATTGTGACTAATCAATTAATTTGTAATTTAATCGAATAAAACAACTTAGATGAAATAAATTTAACTGATGACAATTCTTTTTAATTGAATAAAAAAGTTCTGTCAATTTGTTTTGAAATGTTTTAACTGATGAAAACAATGTTTAATTGATTAAAAGAGTTCTGTAATGTTTTAGAGACGTTTTAACTAATGAAATAATTAAAAGAGTTTTGGACATTTTTTAGATATGTTTTAACTGATAAAAACGTGGTTTAATCGATTCAAATCGCAACACAAAAATATTTAATTATTTTTAATCAATTATTTTGAAAATGTATCAATTAAAACTGCAACAAAACGTGTTCTCAAGTTACTTAAGTGATTTTAATCGATTATTTTGAAAACATATCAATTTAACCCGTGATTACACATGTTCTTTAGCTGTTTAAGTGAATTTAATCGATTATTTCGAAAATAAATCAATTAAAACTGCGACTACACATGTTCTTTAATTGCTTAAGTGAATTTAATCGATTATTTTGGAAATATATCAATTAAAATTGTGGTAGAAGAATGTATTAATCGATTAAAATGATTTAAAATAGATGAAGGAGAGGATAAATGCTTATATTTTGTAGAACTTTGTAAAATACTTTGTTAAACAAATTTTAAACATATTAAAACACTTTATACTTTGTAAAAAGAAGAAACTCATACTTGAGGAAATTATAGATGTTTATACCTATACAATATATATGCAAATACACTAATGGACTAACATAACATCTTTTAACATCTTCTTTGGACTTCATCAAATCTTTTAGTCAAGACTTCCAAAATTCTTTCTATTAGCTGCTTCATCAGTTCTAATTCGCTTTTGTTGTTAATTCACCGATTAAAACTTGTTTTCTATGGTTTAAATTTGATTCTTAATGATTCGAATCAATTATAATTCATTACAATCACTGTAATTTAGGTTATTTGATTAAATGTCTCATTTACATCATAATTCAACCTCTAGGTTTAAGTGATTGCTTAGGAATTAAGTTGTAAATACAAATTTCAAATGGATTGTAATTGATTGGAATTATTATGGATTTGTTTTTGTTTTTGTAAGACAATTCCATAAAAATCAATAATAATCATAAAAAAAAGTTTATGATTGGAGAATATATATTATTTCTTCACTCTTTTTCATCAACCTTCAATTCAATTTTCATTATAATAGGAGAATATACATTATTTTAATTGAATTTTTTTTTATGAAATCTAAGCGACAATATTAACTTATCCTTTTTTTATCATGCTATTGTTATCATGCTATTATATTGTTGTTTCTTGGTTTTGTTATTTGGATTCCCAACACTTTCAATTTTAGTTTGTACAGATTTGTATTTGGTTGGATTTAATTATTTCAACTATTATTTTGTCTCTGCTTGTAAATATTTGGACATTTACTCTTAATGTTGTATGTTTGTGTTATTATGTTGTTGGATGATTTTTGCCTAGTTTGGGATGTCTTTGGTATGAGGGTACGAGAGTTGCAACTTTAGGTCTTTCTTGATTATTCAATTTAGCAATTTTGGCCATCCTTTCTATTCGATTTAGTTTAATTGGATGTTCGGTCCTTTACATATGAATATGTCAGGTTTTTGCAATTAAATATAAGTGTGGTCGTATGCGCCACCTAATAAAAATCTTCACATTATTTTAATTTTTTTCATTGGTTCTTTAATATAATTGTGTAGTTTACAATCTCTTTATTATTAAAGAATTACTTAATAATATATATATATATATATATATATATATATATATATATATATATATATATATATATGAACACGCACGTCATCTTATATCTAGTACTTATTATTTTAAAATAAATAAATTTTGAGCCATGAACATGACCATACACGTGGTCATATATTTTACTTTTCAAATAAAATTACTTTAGTAAAAAAAATATTTTAATAAATAAATTGAGTCTTTTAGGATATATGTATGATTGTGTGTATCATCTAATATCGATCAAATTTTATATTAAATATTTATAAATAAATTGCAAGTGTATCTGATATAAAATAAATTAAGTATTATGCTTTATGACGTAATTTATGTGAATTTTAAATAAATCACTTTTTATTTTAAGTAAGATCTTGAAGTGTATCCGGGAGAGTCATCCACACTATCTTAGATCATGCGATATAATTTAATTATAGATATTTTAAATAAATTAAAAATTTTCTTGTAAATAAAGTTGTAAGTGTATTTAATTTTGTTCTTCACACTATCTTATACTTTGTTATGTCATAAACCCCTACTTTAAAAAATACCAAAATATTAGAACTTTAATTCAACTGTTTTTAGACAAATCCTGGTTTTTCATTGTAAAATAAAAATATGAGGTTCATCATTGTCGGCTCAAATAAATATTAAAAATAATATTAATTTTTGTTAGGTAATTTAACACTAATTTTAAAAAAGAAATAAGTTATGTTTAAATAAAATTTGGAGATGAATTTTTTTATTTCTCGTTGATAAAATAGGATTAAACTCATTAACTTATTATATTAAATCCAAATAAGATTTTTTTTTATCTCGTTTATGTACGATGTGGGGTGAAAAAAAAAAATGTTAGTCCAAATATCTCAGTACCAATATTACAAGCAATATTAACTTCTTTCCGCATATAATTCTGAGCCCAAATATGTTTCAGAGACCAATTTTTTTTTTTAATTATATAATTTTTCTTAATAAATTATGACAATTCCATTTCTATTCTTTTATTTTAATCATATTTTCCTGTGGCCCCATCGTGACGCCACACTTATCTTTTCAAGATCTCCCAAAACTGAATACCTCCTTGCCAAAAGCATGCATTAAGTGTAGCTCCAACATGGTTTTAGGGGTCTTTTGGAATGAAAATGAAGAGGATGAATGTTTGAAGAAAATGCAGGACGAGTTTGGACGAATAATGTGGAAAAAGTGAGAAAAAGAAAATAATAGAAGTAGAAGATAGATGTGCGAAGAAAAAAACAAAAATGCAGTATAATTTATTATATTTTCAGAATAACAAGAAATAAGTAATTTTTTTTTAATATAATCGATGAGACATCGTAATTAATTCTATTTTTTTACTATTTAATTTGAATAAAATATAATTAAAAATAATATCAATAAATAAAATATTAATAACAAATATAATTATTTTTTCTTTCTATTTTTTTCAATAAAATAATCTCTTGTTTTCATTTTTATTTCTTTAAGTACTTTGCAATATTTGATGAATTGCAATTCTTGATATTCCATCTTACAATAGAAATTCCCGAGAATTCCATCTTTAAGTACTATTTTGTTTTTTGCAAAAATAAAATAAATTTGTTTAAAATATAAAAATCGGTTATTGTTCTTACAGTAAAACTAAATAACTAATAAACAACCTTCATGAATGTGCTTGAAGAAAGTATTTGAATAAACTACATTTTTGTTCTTAAAGGACGATTTAATTTTTAAATTAAAAAAAAAAATTCTTGAAATTTGTAGGGGTTCTGCGTCAATTATATTTTGTTCTTTATTTTCATTTAGTTTGTGTTGAAATAAAATTTAATTCCTTTTCCATCTAGATATGGATTCATAGGTTGATGATCAATTAACGATGTACTGACGCTTTATTTGTTTCAACTATTTTATGAATCTCTCCTTTTGTGTGACACATCCATTATGAAGTTAATTAAATTGGATCTATTTAAAACATATATTTAAATTAAAAAAATTTACAATTCACATAAAATTGGATCAGAACGAAGGGATCGATTGTGCTAACTGCTAAAGAATCTCCTTAGTGCCACAAAATTCTCAAAATAAAACGAGGCTTGCACCGCTATACGAGAACGAGAATAGATAACGATGCACCAGAAGAACCAAGTGTTGCATGTTGCATGTTGCATGTTGCGTTGCATGTCATTAACGTGGCAAATAATGAACCTGTCCACGTATCACCCTATTTCCTATTACTAATATTAAACCTTTGGATTTTCGGTGCCTCGTTGCATTGCATTTTATTTTACTCACTAAAAGAGAGAGAGACAGAGAGAGATAACGGTTGAGAGAAGAAACCGCAACGTGAGATTATGGCGATGAAACTCAAGTATGTTTCTTCCATTGCGGAGGACGTCATCAATAGATGTGCACAGTAATCTCTCTCTTTATATCTCTACTCTTATAGCTTCCTGCATGCCATTCGCTAATAATAATAATAATAATCTTATACAAGGTTGTTAGAATCGTAGGACAACTATGTAGTGTGTTATTTTCTTTGGAGAAAGTAGTGTTGTATTTGGTTCTTTTACTTTCTCCATGTTGGCTAGTTGTTTTCCTAGAGATTGAGAATATAAGGGAGCCAAATGATTTCATGTTCTAATATTGTGGTAGATTATGATGATATGTCAGAACATTAGTTGCTACCGTTTGTACTACGGCTTGTTTATTGGGAGAGGAGTATCACATTAAGTGGAGTCAGGGTTCCGAGGGTGATAATCATTGCTTAAATGCAAAACTATTACATTAACTTTGCCTTTGTTTATTTGGTACTTAGGAAACTGGATACTTCGGTAGAGACTTTGGTGGAAGATTTTGAAGAGGAATGGAAACCTGATATGGGAAACTATTGCAGAAAATTAGTTGAATTTTGCAGTGGGAAGGCTGTGAGTGAAATGTGCGGCAACATGAAGGGAAACATCAAGGATGGCTCGTTTAGCAGGTTGACATATGACATGATGCTTGCCTGGGAGAGACCTAGCTACTATGATGAAGAACATACGGTGTGCTTATTTATCTCTCTCTGACACAAACTTTTATTTTTTGGGACAAAACTAAGATATAATCTAACATCATAATACCAACTCCAATCTATATAAAAATCAGCCTTTCATTTCATCGATAGTGATTTTTAATTAAACAATAATGCTAACAAATAATAGTATTGTTTTGTTTTTTCTCTTTGGATTTTGTTATATATAATGTACACACAGTTACCATAGGCTATTCAAATGGAAAAACTGAGATATTTGGTGAATGTATTAGGGACCCAGATTATCTTGCAGGTTGACTCTGGTTTATTTTTCAGATTGTTTAGTAATAAAGTTTATACGAATTGGCTATCAGTTCCAGAATCTGTTGCTAGTTACGAAATTGTCTTGATATGTGAGATTGCATGCTTTGAAATTATGGGTCATCGAACATTAGCTAGGATCTGGCCCTGTTTGATCTGAACTTCAGCATTATCACCTTCCTTATGAAATAAATTTTGATCTGAAGGTATTTTGTTCTTATGTCTACTCATGTTATTAATCGGATGAGGCTTTTGAGGTTTGCAGGAGACTATAGCAAAGGCCAAAGAAGAAAGGAAGATAACTAAGAATACTATTGAAGAACAGGATGATATCCCTCTGTTTTATTCAGACATCATGCCTCTCCTTGTAAGAGCATTTTTTTTTTCTTGTACTTCTAATAATGAAGAATATAGATGATGGAGTTATAAGCTCCCCCCGCCCTTTTGGTTTAAAGAATCAATTTAAATTGCAGCCTTCTGCAGGTCTTGTCCTCTAAATGCATGAAACTGAAATCAGTCTTTAAATATTCTATATAAAAAGGATGCATGATGTTTCTTGCATTTCAACCAAGCCAGTTTGATAGAAGTAAACACAAATTTTATGAGTTTAGGTGTAAGATATTTTCAAGTGTAACTGGTCACCCTTCGTACATTTTTGTTTTCTTATCATAATTCATGAACTATCTTGCCAGGTTAATGATGAGCCCAATGTTGGAGAAGATTCATTTGTTTGGCTGGGATCATTAGTACCATTAGTTGCAGATGTAGCAAATGGAAGGTTTACTTTTGAAACTCTAACAGCATCAACAGGCCACAGGCTACATTTTCCAGCATATGACAAGTTCTTGAAAGAAATGGACAAGTATGAATTGAACTGGTTCATTTGCAAGCATTTTGAGTTCGTTCAGTATATTAGCTAGGAAAATCCTCTGATGCTTTCTAGGCTTCGTTTGGATTACTGTTTAACAATATCTCTGATTTAGAATTGATGGCTATCTTAAGATTATTTGGTTGGTGAACATATGAGATATGAATACCTAGAATGTAAATAAAGCTTTAGGGTCTGCATTAGTATTCTTTGGTAGAATAAAATATGATAAAAAGAGAGATAATAGCATGACTTAATTAGGGAACTATTTAAAATATCGTCAGGCTTATAAAACCAATTTGGTTTCTTTACCTGAAAATTTAAGCTTTCAAGAGAATTAGGTTTTTGACATTTAAGATTTTGATCCTTAGCTCCGTAGTTAGTTATGCATTATCGATGCTTTAAGCTCCACAGGCTCTTACAGAGAAAAACGAATGGTGTGGGCTTTACCTAAATGGTTTAAGTTTTTCTAGAGAGTGGATTCTTGACATTTCTATGTATACTAACATTGTTACCTCTATTTCCTTATATTAAAAAATGAATATTAAAAAATGAATATTAAAAAATGAATATTAAAAAATGAATATTGTGAGTGGGGATTGGTTTCATTAGACAACAAGGGGAGATTTTATTCTTCCTGGAATAATGGATACATTAACTTATTACATTGGGTAAAGGACAATTTACATGGAGAAAAATATAACAGTTTTCTTTCCTGGCTAGTAGATGAACTAAGCAACACATGCCACTGTAATAGAATATATCTCTCGATATAAATAAAGATTAATGTTCTAATGGAAGAAGTTGCAACTCGAGTTATACTTTATTATTTAATTCATGATTCCATAGGTGCATACGACATCTGCAGAAACAGGCAAAACCAAATGGGGTGGAACTGGCTGAGGATGAATATATATTACATGTAGATGGAACAGTCGTCAGTCAGAGAGTAGTTCGCCACATTGGAACAACAAGTTGGCCTGGTCAGCTGCTTGGTCTATCTAATTGTTAACTTCAGTAATGCTTTAGAATTTATAAAAAAAAGGTTCATATAAAAGTTGATTTGGTTTTAATTGCCAGGTAGGCTTACCCTGACCAATTACTCTCTTTACTTTGAGGCTTCCGGAGTAATCAAGTATGAAGATGCTCTCAAGATAGACCTCTCCAAGAATGTTGAGCAGAGTGTTAATCCTTCTGCCACAGGTCCATGGGGAGCTCAACTTTATGACAAAGCCATAGTCTATGAGTCAGCTGATTTGTAAGTCTAGAGTTATGTCCATTAAAATATCCAGTAGTGATTCAATCATCATAATATATTTATTTGGGATAAATGATGAATTTAGTCCTTGAAAGAGTCGAAGAATTTGTGAATTCTATATCTGACGTCCATTCAAATGTTCTGAACTAAAAAACTTATGAACTGAGCAATAGGGTGGTTGCTCTAACATTTTGAGTGTTGTTTGTTATCTTTTATGCCTTTGACATAGTCATATCCTGGTTCTGCCTAAGTTTGCTTGTACCACCTTAATGTAATATAATTAGAGAAATGTATCTAATCCTCACTTTCTGTCATAAATAATTTGTATTTTGAAATTTCTAGATCAGAGACAATTGTACTGGAGTTTCCAGAGCTTACAAGTTCCACAAGACGTGATCATTGGCTTGCGCTAGTAAGGGAAATAATGTTTCTCCACAAGTTTTTATTGAAGTACCAGATAAAAAGCCCAGTACAGATATGGGAGATGCATGCAAGGACAATGTTGGGAATCATAAGGCTGCATGCAGCAAGAGAAATGCTAAGAATATCACCTCCTGTCCCAACAAAATTCTTAATATTTTCCTTATATAACGAAATACCAAAAGGAGATTACGTGTTAGAAGAGCTTGCGGATAGCCTCAATAGCCTCAATAAGAGCAATAATGAACAGTCTTGTAGTGCAAGTACTATCCTTAGGAGTATGAACATTTCTAAGACAATAGTTTCTGATGTAATAATAGATGAGGCAAGTCAAGCAGATGGAAGTGTTCATGTAGGCGGAAGTCCCTCATTGATCTCATTCGAGACCTCATTGGAGACCGCTATCCAACAATCTAGGGAGGAAGAAAAGGAAATTCTCGTTGCTAAAGCTACCACTGAAGAATTAAAGGAGGAGGGAGTCATTGACAGTGTTCTGGTTATAACGGTAAGCAGCAGCACGTTATTATCCAAAATGGAGTATGTTTTGTAGCAGAAAGGATTGTTATGCCTTTTCATAATTTATGCTTTGGGGAATGTGAAGTTCATGGTCAACATTTTAATGTTGTAGGTTACGGTACAGATAAAAAGTGCTTTAACTTTTTTTATTGATTAACTCTTCATTTGATAATCAAATTTCAGGATTGTCCTGGAATGGAAAGAAAACATCGTATGTTTGGATTTTAGACTTGACGGTAGTTTTCTGATTTCATTGTATAGGAACTACTGAAACCACTCAAAATTGTGGTCCCTTGGTTTCAACAAATCTTCTCATGGGAAAGACCATTCTTTACTCTTTCTGTCCTTGCTGCTTCCCTTATTATCACCTATATGTGAGTTCTTACTTCTTATCTCTCTTTTTTTGGTTATATATATATATATATATATATATATATATATATATATATATATATATATATATATATATATATATATATATATATATATAAACATACCTATCAAATTGTGTTCGATGCATAAATTGTTTCCATTACCTAAGTAGTGTGTAACATCCCCTGAACAATGCCAGGGAATGGGTTGGCAAGGCATTTGCAACTTTCTTGATTTGGGCAATAAAAAAGATGGTTCAGGCAAGGAAAAACAAGATTTATGAAAAATGCAACGAGATAGTAATCAGCAGATCTAATATGGCTTCTGATCAGTCTACGATGGAGAGCATTGTCTCAGCCCAGCAAGGATTGTACACTGTTCATGAGATGATGCAGATAGCAAACATAGCAATGCTAAAGATATGGTCAATACTTATTTCAAAAGCTGAGAAGGTACTTTCTCCTAACATTTTTATTTCAGCACTTATCAAAATATTGGTGAAGATTGATCGTAACATAAAAAGTTCTGTTTTAGAATGCTGTAATATACAACTCAAGTTTAATTGATTTATTGAGGGATGTAACAGCAGCAGTCTAGATATGTCACCTGTAATTGATAGGTCAAACTGCTATAGTTTCTTTGGTTATCATGATTTCTCCACAAAATGAATCTTGTGTAAAATACAAAGGGACCTATCCTTGATCTCATTTTTGACATTTGCTTCTGCTTACCCTTTCAAAAACAATGTACTTCTTTTTACACACTTTAGCAAGATACTGCTTGACACATTTTCTCCAACACACTTGTTTCCATTATTATGTGAGTTTTATGCGGCTTCTACTATAGGACTTGAGATCATACTCTTGGTGAGAGCCACATAAATTTACCCGATAATAGTGTGTGGATAGGAGCCTGTATAGTACTGTGTACTCACACTCCTCTTGTGATATATAAGATTTTACTTGAAGAATTCTCAGTTAGAGATGGTGGGATGATTCATTTAGTTGAAAAGGACAACTGTGAGCTGATGTCTTCAAATATGTTTTGCCTCTTCATTTTTGCAAGACAATTTATAGTGGTTTTTGCTCCTTCTGTCCTATAATGTGTCGTTAATATTTGTGGTTATTCTTGTTTACCACATACATATCGTTGTTTCTGTTGCAGCATGCAAATTTAGTGATGTTGGCAATGGGTGGGTTGGCGATCTTATTGGCTGTGATTCCATTCAAATTCTTCCTTATGGGTCTCATTATCCAAAGCTTCACTATGACATCAAGAAAGTCCTCTGAATCAGGGAATAGAAGGTTGAGGGAATGGTGGGACGCAATACCAATCGTTCCTATTCGTGTAGTAGACGATGTTCCTAACACCGGTGGTGACAACCTTGCTTCTTAGATTCTCTAGTATATGAGTTTAATATATGTAACCTTTGTTCAACACACCACCTTTACAACGAAACTCGGTTAGTGTACATAGCCATAGAGAAACACTGAAAAGTGAAAATAAATGTATAAATAGTTGAGCCAGTAAGTTGTTTCACTGCATTCCCTGCTTCAACTGGCTCAGTTCAATAAACTTCTACACCATATGATTGAAAATGATATAAAGTATTACTATGTCACACTTGGTTATAGTTTTGCTGAATCCTGCTATTCTCAAATATTGTTCAAAAAGATTATTTTTTTTCCAACCCAATCAATTTCAGTTCTTTCTTTTATCACTCTTTTCTTAATTTGTCCCTCTTTCATTATTCATTTTTCTTTATGCATACTGGGGATGTTGGTGAAGAGATTAGATAGTTAAATAGATACAAACAAAATTGACAATGGATTAACATGAGAGTTTTACAAACATTCCATCATAACTTAGGAGATGTAATAAGTTCTATTACTCGTTTTTTATTAACAGAAAAGAACTAAGATAGTGTCTAGTCGTAGTAATCATCTCAGATTCTTATAAAGCAACTTAGACTCTAATATAGTAAGAGCAAATTACACTCAGGTAACGAAATTGCACGAACATCTTCTGATTCGAGGTGATTAACATTTTTAAGAGGTGTTCGTATAATTTCTGAATCTAGTCTAATTCCATGGTTCCAATCAACTGATGAACCTGCTAGTCGCTTTTTGAAGAACAACTTTTCAATCGTTTCTGTATAATTTAAACTGAAATATTCGAAAATTGAAATCGGAAAGTTCAAGTTGAATTGAATTAACCTTATATGTAATTCGAATTGTTAGATAAATTAAGTTGAATATTATAGTTTAAGTAAATTAAATTATTTAGAAATATTTTTAATTGTTTAAAATTATGACTTATTTTAATTTTTATTAATAAATATCTATTTTAATATTATATATATATATATATATATATTTTTTAAATAATAATTAATTTAGTTTGATGGAGAGGAAATTGCCTCCGATTATAAAATTTAGTATTTTTTTTATGACATTTTTAGTATAATCAAATATTGTGATGGTACAAGGCTTGACAAACTTATTAAACATTGATAAAATATTTGTTACAAAATTTGATTAAGCGAAAAATTCAAATTCAAGTAAATGTCGTTACAAAATTAGCGAAAAAATTAAGTAAATGTCGTTTAAGTGTGTATTTAAGTGAGTATTTATTTTTATTATTTTCAAGAATCTTTTAGGTTGTTTAAGCGCTGACGAGGTCAATTAAGTATTGTCTATTTAAATCATTCACAATTTGTTTAAGTTAGGGTCATTTCAACGAAAAGATGGTGACTTAAACAAATTTCACTTAAGTGAAGATGTGGTCGCCCAAGTGAGAGTATTGCAGCACTTCCACTTAAGTGGTTTAAGCGAGTTTATTTAAGCAAAATTTTGATTCATTTAAGCGTAAGTCACTTATGAAAATATTTTTTCTCCTTTCACCAAGTAGAGTCACGGTCAATCCTACACCAAGAATACTTAAAGTGTTATCAAAATTATTTCCTAAGTTTCTCAAGAAACTCAACATTAACTCCTCCAAGAAAAGTTCATTGTATAGGAAAGTAGGAGAAAGAACTCCCAAGAGGACTTTTGAAGACCAAGAAATGGGGTACAAGTAAATTTGCAAGTTCCACACATTAAAGCTTGAAAATGTGCTAAAAAAGCTACACACAGGGGCATATATATAGTCGTTTTCCCTCACTCACTTACTCAATCACCTAGAGGATGTGGGGCTAATTTTCCTTGTACAAGTGTGCATGCCGAGAATGCATCTATCAAGGTTCAAGTCCTACATTGCTTTCTTCAAATTACATTTATGAGTTTATATATCCTAATGCTTCCAAGTGTTCCAAATAAGAATTGAAGTTTGGATCTCCTCGATGTAGTTCCCTTTGACTTGAGAAAATGGAGAGTAGATGCAACTTCCTTTTTGTGACAACTAAGTGTTTATTCATGCTCTTCTCCTTTAAGCTCCGCTCCCTCCAAGTCCAACATAACTTTGGACAAGTGTGTTCCATGTGTTTATATACATGAGAGTCTCCATAAGGTACAACCAAGTTGTTTAAGTGAGGTGTTGGTCGTGACTTGCTCTATTTGTGGTGTCCGTAAGGTGTTGGTTGTGGCTTGTAACTTTATTGGTGTCCTTCAGCCTAGTGTGTTTTACAAAAGAGTAAAAGAATTTTTTTTATAATTTTATACAAGGCTAAGTATAGAAGAAGATTCAAAATGAAAGGCTTTAGTGAGGGACTTTTTCTATCCTCGTAGCCATGACCCTACTAAGGGCTTGATAGCACTTTTCTATCATCCTAATCATGATCCTAGTGAGGGACCTGATAGCACATATTTTGTACACACATTTATAGGTTTACTGTATACTGAATGCATTTTCCATATATTTTATCATCACTTTTAAACCCATTTTTAGTTAGTAATAATGTACATATTTGCTTTAACTTTGTATTTTTAGCTAATATGACATTTTCTTACTGTGTTTATCATAACTTTTTCTACAAACAATACTTTTAGCTAATTCAAGATGAATTGGATTCTATATTTTCAAAGTTATCAAATGGATATATGGTTCGCTGGATTTGAAGTTCTGTTCTATTTTCTACGATTTTTAGAAGTTGAGACAAATTTGCTAAAATCTTGTAAAGAACTCATGCGAATTTGATTTTCATTTGTATTAGTTTATCTTTTGTAATTAGGATTGTAGACCCCAAATCTTGTCCGACCATACAACAAGTTCAAAAATCCTCCGTTTTGAAGATGGACAAGGCTTCATAGGATCCTAGTACTATTAGCTAGGCTCCATTTAAGAAAAAGAGAGTTTTCTTAGAAAATAAAAATTATGAATTTTGTCAGAAACTCGAGACGGTCGTCCCGGATTCCAGACAGCCGTCCTAGATCACTTTTTGTCTGGGACGACCGTCCCAAATCCCAGATGATCGTCCCAAGGCTTTTCACCAAGCAAGACAGTCGTCCCAAAATCTTAGATGGTCGTCCCAAATGACTCCTTTTGAGACATCCGACTCCCGGTATTTTAATAATTTTATTGTTCGAGGGAGGAACGTTATTGTAGAGCGAGGGGACTGTCAAAAAGCGTCCTCAAGTTTGAAGATTTATAAAAAGCTCGCTTCGGATATTCTTTTCAATTCCTTCTCTTTTATCACTTTCCTTTTACCGCTTTCCTTTGTGTGCATTAGAAATTAGGGTCATGTAGATATTTGTTTAAATACTGCAAATAAATAAATAGGGTAAAAACATAATTTCTATATCTTTATTTTAGAATTAATTCATCATAGGGAACCCGAAAGGGGCGTTGTGGGGTGCTAACACCTTCCCCACACGTAACTAACTCCCTTACCCAACTCTGGTTATAATGGCCAAAGTTGGTTTTTCTAAACCAACATTTTTTTTTCCTTTTTCAATATTTATGGTTAAAACATTGATGACGACTCCATAAGAATACATTTTTTACGAAAACTTCATTCTTAAGGATAGTTCGGTTATCGAACATTCTAAGAGTGATGACCATGTTTTAAAAAACGCGAGTCACAAACCATTGCATCGTGATCGCTCGCATATATCGTTTCATCGCATCTAGCTACGCAGGGAGGAAAATGGTTTCACTGGGAAAGCCTAGAGAGTTGATCTCATTTAGTGATGGATTAATTCAAAATACAATAAAAGATTTGAAATTATGCTTTTACCTTTTTTTGTCATGTTTTATCTATATAGCTTTAATAACTGTTGTATGTTTATTTTTTACAATTGTTTGAAATACAAACTGTACACAAACCTTTGCATACAATAGTCTCTCTATACCCGGGGGCATGAGCGAATAACCTTAGGGAGTGGGTAGCATGTATAACCGACCGTGGTAATGACCTTAGTGCTAGCAGGTCGTTGCTGGAAACCACCACTCAAGGTGATAACCCTCCTTTCTCAGTCTGCAGGATGTTGACACGACCTTGAACCACACATGGTTTGAGGATTGAGAGACCGTGGGAACCCTATAATGGGGGCACCTTGAGGACCTGATCTTGGTGATGACAGTTAGAACCTACCCTTATTATGTACTTTTCTGCAGGATACTCTTACCTCGTGATTAAATGTCGTCGCTCTATTCATGGATGAGTGAATTGTTTATGCATATGTTTGTTGCAATTGTTTGATTGCATTAACGTATCATAATCATACAACAGCTAAAATAAAAAAAATTCTTAAAAAATAAAAATAATAATAATAAGAGATATCTAAACCTGCTCTGTCAGATCCAACATCTCAAAATCTTATTGAAAACTTTTGTTGCTATAACCAACTTTATCTTGAACAGTCTTCATTTAAGCTAGCCTGATTTCAGGTTATTTGAAAACTAAGTAGTCACATTGACCAACAGAAGAGATAAGGAGTTATAAAAACAAACAAAACAAACTTTTTTTTTACTATAACCAACTTTATCTCGGACAGTCTTCATTTAAACTAGCCTGATTTCAGGTTCTTTGAAAATTAAGTAGTCACGTTGACCAACAGAAGAGATAAGGAATTATAAAAACAAAAAAAAACAAAAAATGACATAAAAAAACAATAATAACAAAATTTGATAAAACGATTTTGACAAAGTCAAATCATTCATACCTTCATCATTTCAAGAGTGGTAAAACCAAGAGAGAAAATAAATACATAAGGAAAGTAAGCATACACATCATCCTAATAAAGTCTCTCATGCATAAATACATTCATTCTAGGGACACTAAATATCCTTAAGACAAAAGCAAAAGAGGCCCAAGTACGTTTGTAACCTTCGTTACACTTGTCAATCAATGGCAAGGAAGGGTCAAATGTGTTAATGTGTGGTAACCTTCGTTATACTTGTCAATCCATGATGGGGAAGAAACCATTACACTAAAGTGGATGTGGTGCTCCATGAAG